GGCTCCTGCGATCCTTCCGCCTCAGCCTTCCAAGTAGCTGGAACTACAGGCGCGTACTACTATGCCCGGCTAACTTTTTAAAAAAAATTTATTGTAGAGATGAGTTCTCGCCAAGTTGCCCAGGCGGATCTCGAACCCACCGGCTCGGGCAATCCACTCACCTCAGCCTCCCAAAGCACAGGATTACAGGCTGAGCCACCGAGCCCGGCTGAGATTGTGGTTCTTTGACACTCCTGAAACAAGACACTCCTGCCTAGTCACAATAACATAAATTCCTGGGACAGTTAACACGGGCCAATGTCCCCCATAGCTGTCCCTCCCCAGCACCGGATCCGGCAAGGGGTTATGCCTTCAGCTGCCTGGTCTTTTGCTCTGCTTTAATTCAGAGTGGTCCCCAGGCTTGACTTTTCAAGAGTTCAGACTAGCCTGCAGAACACCCTCAATCTGGATGTCTCTGGTTGTTTCCCTAAGATAGACTTTTAGATACGCTGGGGGTGTGGGCAGAATGGAGCAGTACTCCACGGATGCTGTGGAGTGTTTCTTCATTTCATGAGCTGGTGGTACACAAAGGCAGCGGTGTGTCTGTTTCGAAATCTGCCAACCCACTGCCTCCCCCAGGCCCTCCAGAAGGAAGTGCCTTCCTCCTCGCACCTTCCTAGACGCTGTCTGTCCTTTCTTCCCTTCTCAGCCAAACGTCTGCTTTGTTAAATTGCAAACAGTGGTTTTCTTGCTATACGTCCAACAAGAATGCCTCTTTTTTAAAAAAAATTCACTTTAAAGATGTGGGGTGAAATTCAGGGTTAGGTATACAAGTAGTCACCCTGCAAGTAAAGGTTGGGCCTCCTTTTGGTCCCCACTTTGCCTGGTTTGGGACCAAGCGCCCTTATCGATGTTGTGTCCTATAAACGTCTCTTACACAACACGAGGAACAAGGCAAAAACGAAGGGAGAAAACGAACAATTCCCTTGATTCCATTCATGCACCCGAGGACAGTTCCACCAAACACCCTCCTCGGCGTGACCCCGCCACGGCCGTCAACCCGCCAACCAAGAGCGTGAGTACGTGCGGTTCCAGGCCCCCGCTTTTCGGGCGGCGGGTTTCTAGGTAGCAGCAGACGGCTGGAACCGTGAGATTCAGCGATGACGCCGCTTCGTAACCTGCGTATTCGGTTAACACCGCGAGCGCTCGCCCCTCCTACCCAAAGCTCCCCACCTGCGTCCTTTGTGCCTGGCCGAGCCGGCAAGGGGACATTCCGTCCGGTCTCTGCGTGTCTTCGGAGCGACCCAGGGCAGTGCGGCTCGGCCTTC